ACACCCCGTTGACACCACTGGATAGATCCTCTAGACAAAAAATTAGCAAGGAAACAGAGACTCTAAATGAAGCACTAGACCAAATGGATTTAATAGATATCTACAGAGAATTACACCCCAAAACTACAGAATTCACATTCTTCTCAAGTGCACATGGGACATTCTCAAAGATAGACCACATGATAGGACACAAACTAAATCTCTACAAGTTCAAGAAATTGAAATCATATCAAGCATCTTCTCAGATCACAATGGCATGAAACTAGAAATCAACTGCAACAAGAACATGCAAAGACATTTCAACACATGGAGGCTAAATAGCATGTTATTAAAAAATGAATGGGTTACCAAGGAGATCAAGGAAGAAAATAAAAACTTCCTGGAAACCAATGAAAATGAACACACAACAACACAAAATCTATGAGATGTAACAAAAGCAGTTCTGAGAGGGAAGTTCATAGCACTACATGCCTACCTCAAGAAACAAAAAAAATTTCTAATTGACTGTCTAACCTCACAACTTAAAGAATTAGAAACCAAACAAAAAGAAAACCCCAGAGCAAGTAGAAGGAAGGAAATAGTAAAGATCAGAGCAGAAATAAATGACATAGAGACCAAAAAGACAATTCAAAGGATCAATGAAACGAAGAGCTGGTTTTTCGAAAAGATAAACAAGATCGATGGACCCTTAGCTAGATTCACCAAGAAACAAAGAGAGAGAACCCAAATACACAAAATCAGAAATGAAAGAGGAGAAGTAACAATCGACACCACAGAAATACAAAAGATCGTTAACAGCTACTAGGAACAACTATATGGCAACGAATTCGACAATCTAAGTGAAATGGACAAATTTCTAGAAACACACAGTCTCCCAAAACTGGACCGGGAAGAGATAGAAAACTTGAACAGACCAATAATAACTAAGGAAATTGAAGAGGTAATCAAGACTCTCCCAGCAAACAAAAGCCCAGGCCCAGATGGCTTCACCAGGGAGTTTTACTGCACATTCAAAAAAGAACTAACACGCATTCTCCTCAAACTATTTCAAAAAATTCAAGAAGAAGAAAGACTTCCAAACACGTTCTATGAGGCCAGCATAATTCTAATTCCAAAACCAGAAAAAGACACTACAAAAAAGGAAAACTACAGGCCAATATCCCTGATGAACATAGATGCCAAAATCCTGAGCAAAATACTAGCAAATCAGGTCCAGCAATACATCAAAAAATTATTCACCATGACCAAGTGGGATTCATTCCAGGGGTGCAAGGCTGGTACAATATTCACAAATCAATAAATGTGATACACCACATAAACAAAATGAAAAATAAAAACCACATGATCATATCAATAGACGCTGAAAAAGCATTTGACAAAATCCAGCATCCATTTCTGATAAAAATGCTCAGCAATGTGGGAGTAGAGGGATCATATCTCAACATAATAAAGGCCATATATGAAAGACCTACAGCCAACATCATACTCAATGGGCAGAAACTAAAACCATTTCCATTAAGAACAGGAACAAGACAGGGATGTCCACTTTTGCCACTCTTATTTAACATAGTACTGGAAGTCTTAGCCACAGCAATCAGACATGAGGAAAAAATAAAATGGATCCAAACTGGAAAGGAGGACATGAAACTGTCATTATTTGCAGATGACTTGACATTATACATAGAAAACCCTAAAGACTCCATCAGAAATCTACTAGACTTAATAAATGAATTTGGCAAAGTAGCAGGATACAAAATTAACATCAAAAAATCAATGGCATTCGTATACTCCAATGATGAACTCACAGAAAAAGAAACTAAAATAATAGTCCCATTTACCATTGCGGCAAAAAAAATTAAGATACCTAGGAATAAACTTAACCAAAGAAGTAAAGGATCTATTTGCAGAAAACTACAGGACATTGAAAAAAGAAATAGAGGAAGATATAAAAAAGTGGAAGCACATACCTTGTTCATGGATTGGAAGAATTAACATCATTAAAATGTCCATACTACCCAAAGCAATCTATAGATTCAATGCAATCCCCATCAAAATACCAATGACATATTTCACAGAACTAGAACAAATACTTCAAAAGTTCATATGGAACAAAAAAAGTCCCCGAATAGCCACAGCAATTTTGAAAAAGAAGGACAAAGTAGGTGGGATCACAATACCAGATTTCAGGTTATACTACAAAGCGACTGTAAACAAAACAGCCTGGTACTGGCATAAGAACAGGCATACAGACCAGTGGAACAGAACAGAGAACCCAGAAATGGACCCAAGGCAATATGCTCAATTAATATTTGACAAAGGTGGCAAGAGCATACAGTGGAGTCAAGACAGCCTCTTTAATAAATGGTGTTGGGAAAATTGGACAGCTACATGCAAAAAAAAATGAAACTAGGCCATCAACTTACACCATACACAAAAATAAACTCAAAATGGATAAAAGACTTAAATGTGACCCATGAATCCATAAAAACTCTAGAAGAAAATGTAGGCATCAAAATTTCGGACATCATATGCAGCAGAATTTTCACTGATACATCACCTAAGGCGACAGAAACAACAGAGAAAATGAACACATGGGACTACATCAAACTAAAAAGCTTCTGCACAGCAAAAGAAACAATCATCAAAATGGAAAGGCAACCCACTGTATGGGAGAACATCATTGCCAATGATATATCAGATAAGGGGTTAATTTCCAATACATATAGAGTGCTCATACAACTCAACAAAAGGAAGACAGAGAACCCAATTAAAAAATGGGCAGAGGAGCTGAATAGACACCTCTCCAAACAGGACATACAAATGGCCAAGAAACATATGAAGAAATGCTCATCATTACTAATCATCAGAGAGATACAAATTAAAACAACAATGAGGTATCACCTCACACCTGTCAGAATGGCTGCCATCAACAAATCATCAAACAACAAATGTTGGCGAGGGTGTGGAGAAAAGGGGACTCTAGTACACTGCTGGTGGGAATGCAGACTGGTGCAGCCACTATGGAAAACAATATGGTGTTACCTCAAAAAATTAAAATTGAACTTCCATTTGACCCAGTGATCCCGCTTCTAGGAATATACCCTAAGAAGCCTGAAACACCAATCAGAAAGAATGTATGTACCCCCATGTTTGTAGCAGCACTATTTACAATAGCTAAGAACGTGAAACAGCCCAAGTGTCCATCAGTAGATGAATGGATAAAAAAGCAGTGGTACATATACACAATGGAGTACTATGCAGCTGTAAGAAAGAAAGATCTCTTATCCTTTGAGACGACATGGAGGGACCTGGAAAGTGTTACCCTAAGTGAAACAAGCCAAGCAGAAAAAGACAAATACCACATGATCTCACTTATATATGGAATATAATGAACGTAACAGTCTGAGGAACATGGTAGACCCAGAAACATGGAAGTAGGGCACAGACTGACATCCATCAGAGGAGGGGGTGGGGGGATGGGAAGAGATAAACCACAGAACTTATATGCATGTATGCATAACCAATGGACATGGACAACAAAGCCGGGGATGGGGTGGGGGGGATGGGGAGGAGGGTGCCAATGGGGTAAAAAAGGAGAAACATCTGTAACAAAAAAAATAAAAAATTAAAAAATAAGAATAAAAATAAAATAAAAGTTAAAAACAAAAACAAAAGTAAGAGGGAGCCTTGCACAGGTCAGTGATAAAAATGTACTATAAATTATGCAGTGAAACTCAAACGCTGTCTGACCTAGAGAACAGAGAAGAGTAGATGACATTGAGTTTGGGAAAGCAGAAGGGAAAAGAGTCTATCATACATTGCTGGTGTCCGTATAGACTGGCACATTCATTCAAGTGAGCAATTTAGTAGTATTTATACAGGAAGGAAGAAAGAGGGGGGAGGGGGAGGGGGGAGGGAGGGAGGGAAGGAAGAAAGAACCTACCCTATAATCCAGGATTTTCATTTGTAGGAATCACAGATCGATGTGTGGCTGGCACGTTTAGCACTCAGTGAATGTTCTTCCTATTATAAAGGTGATCATCATAGGGAGAAACAATAAAGTATGCAATTAACTCCTGCAGCTAATGCAGTGCTCACTTCTGCTTCGTTTTGGAAAAATAATAAGATAGTGTTTATATCACGGGGTGGTATGATCATGAAATTTCTGCTTTTTTAATCTTTGCAAACTGCATAAAATGGAAAGAAAATTCTCCCCTAACATATAAGGTCACTTCTAGAGATACTGAGCATATATTAATAGAAGAGTTAAAGATGCTCATGCAGAATTCCAGCCTCCTGTAACAGAGACGCAGTGTGTGAGAGTAGCGGGGGGGGGAGGGGGGGCAGCTGAAACCTCAGTGAAATCCCATGAAACTGCAAAAAAGCCTAGAAATATTCGGAGTGAGTTCCGCAGGAAGCCTCATGAAAATCAGCAGTGACTGTGCAGCAACTGACAAACTCTGACTACGGAAAAGGTGCCTAAGTAAACCCTTACCTTTTTTTCCTTTAATTCTTTCTCCAACTGGTGATTCCCTTTCAATGTGGCAGTGCTGTTACTTGTAAACTCTGTGTTTTGCTCATCCAGTGAAGAGGTCTATCAACGCAGAAAAGGCCCAAGGAGAGGAACATCATGCCAGTCTACTTTTCCAATTAATCATGCCCAGGCCTCTCGGCCTGTAAAGATAGATCCTAAAGTCAACTTGCCCAAGTTGTGGGGAAAGCACCAAGCAGAGGGAAATGGCTCCTGAAATCCACCTCATAACTCGAATGATGACAGGTGACAGCTAGCCCTCCAGGATGCTCATTGCCTTGGAGCACGAAGTGTCCAGCAGCCCCCCTGCCCCTGGCCCCCACACTCACCCTCCCACCTCCCAGCATGGTGAGATATGGTGAGGAGACAGGGATTGTGACATAAGCAAATGGCCTCAGGTTGGTATATGTAAGTGCCAGCCCGCGAGCTTCCTAGTAGGGACATGGCTGCATAACAGCTAACCTCCAAGGGGGGAAGGAACCATCCCAGGGGAGCTGACAGCAGGATTCTGGTAGAGGAGGGCCCGTGACAATACCGTAGGAGCCATGGAGACGGCAATGTGCGTGTGCTCCCCGTGCTGCACGTGGCAGAGGTGTTGTCCCCACTCGTGCTCTTGTCTGTGCTGCAAGTTCCTCTTCACCTCCGAGCGGAACTGCACCTGCTTCCCCTGCCCTTACAAGGACGAGCGGAACTGCCAGTGCTGCCACTGCACCTGCGCCGAGAACCCCAACTGCCACTGGTGCTGCTGCTCCTGGGCCAACGACCCCAACTGCAAGTGCTGCTGCACCACCAGCAGCAACGTCAAGTGCTACTACTACGAGAGCCGCTGCTGCCGCAATGCCACCATCACCTTCCACAAGGGCCGCCTCAGGACCATCCGCATCTCGTAAGTGCTGGGCCCCCTGTGTGGGCCTCGCTGCTGCGGAGTCCACAGGGCAGGCGGTGCCCCCGCCCTGAGTCCGCTTCTCTCTGAAAGAAGGAGGCCAAGAATTGTGTAGCGATGAAGTGTGTCCTAAATGGCTCTTGACCACATATAGACCTGGGTTTCCAATCCAAGCTCCGCCATTGTGTGGCTGAGCACTGTGCCCTCCTGAGCTCACTCTCTCGCCTGTGCGACGCAGTAATAGCTGGCACTCAGTGCTTCAGCGACTTGCCAGGTGCGGCCTGCGTGACCCCTAGCCCTCGCCATGCCCACCCTACCACTGAGGAAAGCCAGCCTCTGAGAGGTTAAGTTGCCCAGAATCATGCAGCCAGTCAGATGCACTCAGGATTTGAACCCAGAGCCTTAATTTTAAAATGCTCTGCTGCAAAGCGGAGAGAATACTACCTGCCATAATTCAGTGGGCGTGAGGAGTCATGTACGTGCTCTGTAATCTGTCATGTGTTATGAATCGCCCTTCCTCTTCCTCCTCTGAACTCTTGATATCTGCCACACTTATTGGAAAAGTAATTACTTCCACAGGCTGCTGTGACCCCATGGCCTGTATAAGGGCCCCGGGCAGCTGTAGATTCCTGCAGCTTGCTCTTTGTTCCCTTCCAGGGGGCATGGCACTGAGGGTTTCAGTCACTCTTTGAGGGCATCGAGCCTCTGTATCAGGCATGGAATGTCGTCCTCTCGCTCCCACCAGACCAGTCTTTTTATGTCCCACACGAGGAAAGCCTGGACTGCTAGAGACAGGCTTCTTAAGGCCCAAAGATCAACGCTCAACACTACACCAGGATTCAGAGAGGCAGGTTTGAGGCCTTCCGAGGTCTGAACGCAGTTCTGTGAGCAAAGGTTCAGTGAATTTGGGGACAGATATGACCCATCTTGCAGTTAAGCACTTAGTAGATGATTAATAAACGTTACTCTCTGCTCATGGACCGCTCGTGGTCCTTGCAAGAATAAAAAACCCAGAGTGGGTGCAGAAGTTCTCAGGTGTGACGTCCACCCTTGTCTCTCCTCTTGACTGCCCCGTTTTCTGTGCGTCATCCAGGAGAGTCCCTGAGCCCATTTCAACAGAGAAGGATTGACATAGTTGCTTTGGGAAGATACCTTAGGCCAGTAGCTTCCAAACTTTACTTTGGGAATCTTTTGTTTTTTATCTTTATTGCAGAGTATTACAAATGTCCCCCTCCTTTTTTCCCCCATGGCCCCCTCTGCCCAGTTCCCACCCCACCCCAGGCCTTCATTGCTCTATGGGCAATGTGTATATGCACATAAATTCTTTGGGAATCTTTAAAAAATAGTGATGCCTGGCCCCCATGCACGGACATGCTGATTTTATTGGTCTGGAGTATCACCTGGGCATCAGAATTGTAAAAGCTCTCATCCCACCCCATGATCCTAAAATGCAGAATGGCCTGAAGGTACAAAGAGGAGGGTCCGGAGACTTGCCAGGTGATACAATGAGATCCCAGGTGCGAGGAGAACAGGCCTGAGTGTGGGAGGGGAAGAAAGCCATGCAGAGGAGCAGAGGCTAGAAGGCAAGAAGGCAAGGCTGCTGGGCTCGGTGATGGTGTTGTCATGGGACCACCGCCTTGAATTCCCAGGCATATGCCTGAGGGTTTCAGAAGGTGGGCAGAGATTCTATTCCAAGTGTCAGGAGGTTGGCTCTGGGTGCACAAAGGTTTACCTTCCATCTAGCCTCTCTCCTGGTTTCGAAGCGCTGCCTCCCTGGTCCCCACCACTCCTCACTACTCAGCATCTTGCTCACCCTATCCCACTCTGGTTCATTCGCCCCTCTCTCCTGACTCAACTCTTTCTCTTGCTTCTGTTTTCACCTCCACCCCAGCTCCCTGGGCCTTTAACATCTGTTCCTTAGCTCTGCCCTCTCTTTCCTTTCTTCCCCCAGCAACACCTTCCCTCCCTTCTTTTTTTTTTTTTTTTTATCCTCACCCGAGGATATATTTTTCGATATTTTGTTCAGATAGAGTGGGAGGGGGAGAGAGAGAGAGAGAGAGAAACATCGACGTGAAAGGGACACATCGAGTGGTCGCCACCCACACAACCCAACCAGGGCCGGGGACAAACTGCAATCGAGGTACGTGCCCTTAGCGGGAACCGAACCTGGGTCTCTCCAGACCGCAGGCCAACGCTCTAACCGCTGAGCCAAACCGGCCAGGGCTCCTCCCTTCTTCTTTCTGATTTTTCATTACTCCTTGATTCTCTGAGCCACCTTATCAAACTAGAGAGGTCTATCCAGCCAACGTGTGCACAACAGAACTGTTTCTCCAGGTGACCCCTTCAGGGCCCAGGCAGGAGGCTGGGAAGAAAGAGGAAACGGGGCTGAGAACACTGAGGCCTGCGGGCCTGGAGCCCAGCATCCAAATCCTAAGTGATGAGCTTTCCAGGTGCCTGGGTCTCCACCAGAGGCATTCTCGGTCACCACGGGCCGCTCATTCCAGAATACTTGAGTAGCAACTTTGATTGTCTGAGCTCTGAGACACAGGTTCCTGGCAAAGAGAATGAGAAAGGAGACAGGGATGTCTAGGGACGAGAAGGCAAGAGCAGAAGAGAACACAGCCCCAATGGCAAGATCGACACCCAAACATCTCTAAGATATACAGAGGAAAAGAAACAGAAATAGCCACAAACTGTGGATCTAGTAATACCCCCATTGCCACCACTAAATCACTTCTTTTCATAAACTGCTCTTGCCCCAACTTGTATTTGAATTTTACAAGTATGTTTTCTATTTTGTCCATAGTTCTTACAATACATGAACTGAACCTCAGATGTTAGACAGATAAAACACACACACACACACAGTACAAGCACACACGTTTCATGGGCTTGACCATTGTTTTCCTCCACTGTGGACATCACTGGCAAGTAGTAGAGGGTAGCCATTGCAGTGGCCACATTTATGAAAGGCTTAGTTGGTACCAGCAGTTAAGCACTTATCATGGATTATCTCAGGCAGACTTTGTAAAATTCTCATGAAAGTAGTTTTGTGAGCCGTGATTTACAGATGAGGAAACTGAGACTGAGAGAGGTTGAAGATGCACCTGTACACTGGTCCACTCCGTCGTGTACAATCTGCCCAGACCCTTAACTCTTACTTTACTAGTGGTGAGACATCCAGGTATTAGGCTTGGCTCAAGGACTGACCTCCTGGTCTCCTGGGAATGACACTTCACCCATCCTCTTCTGTGTTCCATCCTACACTAATAACAATGATGGCAATGCCCTCCAGGCAAAACCCACCAAGAACACACCTGTAGTTGGAAGAGACGGGACTCATTGCCTCATTGCAACAAGTCAAGTGTGAGGTGTCTCAGAAAGAAGGCATCAGTAAGTTGTTAGAGGATTTAGGCTCACGTTAAGTGAGGATGCGGGAATGATCTGCTATTGGGTATCTTAATACATCTCGGCTGGAAGTTGGGAAGAACAGAGGGAGCCTAAGGCTGCGAGCGGCGAGAAAGCAGCGGTCATTCCCATTAACCAGGAGAGGAAGTGTTGAGTCATTTGTGGTTTGGACAATGTCCTTGCTCTTGTCCAAGTTCAAAGATGCTGAAGTGGTTTTGTTTCTGCTTTGCTCCATCTGAGTCCCAGAATGGCCTTGCCTGGTGTTGGTGTTCTGGGATATGGTTATGGTCAACAGAACACCAGGGCCAGGCTGATAGTGCCAGGCTGCTCTCCAAGGCTCTTCTCTTGCTCAAAAATAACAACAAGCGCTTACTGGGTTCCAGGGATTCTCCAAGGCCTTGCAGGTATTAAATTAAATTGTAATCCTCTCGAGAAACCCCCTAATGTGGGCACTGATTGTATAATGAGGAAACAGGCAGAGAGAGGTTTATTAACCTTCCTGAGGTCACCCAGCTGAAAAATAGTGGAGGCAGGTTTAGAACCCAGGCAGAAATGGAGCAAGCTCTGGAGCCGCATCCTGAAGCCGCCCTGGGTTTGCGTCTCCTTTCAGCTCCAAAACCGCCCTGCGCGTCGGGAGCAGTGACACCCAGGTGGGGGATGTCAAGACGACGATGGCAGGGAAGAGCCACCTGGTCGACCACCTGTCGTGCCCCACGTGCAACCGGCTGCGCCTGCACTCGTTCATGCTGCCCTGCAACCACAGCCTGTGCGAGAAGTGCCTGCGGCAGCTGCAGAAGCACGCCGAGGTCACGGAGAACTTCTTCATCCTCGTCTGCCCGGTGTGCAACCACTCGCACTGCATGCCCTACAGCCACAAGATGCAGCTGCCCGAGAACTACCTGCGCGGGCGCCTCACCAAGCGCTACATGCAGGAGCACGGCTACCTCAAGTGGCGCTTCGACCGCTCCACCGGGCCCACCCTCTGCCAGGTCTGCCGCAGCCGGCGCATCGCCTACAAGCGCTGCATCACCTGCCGCCTCAACCTGTGCAACGACTGCCTCAAGACCTTCCACTCGGATGTGGCCATGCAGGACCACGTCTTCGTGGACACGAGCACCGAGGACCAGGACGAGAAGGTGTGCATCCACCACCCGTCCAGCCGCATCGTGGAGTACTGCCGCCACGACAACCAGCTGCTCTGCACCTTCTGCAAGATGGCCTTCCACAACGGCCACGACACCGTCAGCCTCATCGACGCCTGCTCCGAGAGGTCGGCCGCGCTCTTCAGTGCCATCGCCAAGTACAAAGCAGGTTCTGGTCCCCCTCTCCCCTCCAGAACAGCACCGCGCCGGCTGCGTCCTTGGCCTGGTGCCCATACCTGGCAAGGGCAGCCAGCCGCCTAACCTTCCTGCGCCTTGGTTTTCTATCTGTAAACTGGGGGTAAATAGTAGTAACCCCCTCATTGCCTGATTGTGAGGATGCAATGAGCTGTTCTGTGTGACGCATGCCAAAAACAACAACGATCCGGCACACAGAAAGTCCACAAAGATTCTGTAATCCTAGCTCTAACCTTCATGACCATGGGCCCTACTTTCCCCCTTGGAAAATGAAGAGTTGGGCCCTGGCCGGTTTGGTTCAGCGGTTAGAGCGTTGGCCTGCGGTCCTGAGAGGCCCGGGTTCGGTTCCCGCTAAGGGCATGTACCTCGGTTGCAGTTTGTTCCCGGCCCTGGTCGGTTGTGCGGGTGGCAGCCACTCGATGTGTCCCTTTCACATCGATGTTTCTCTCTCTCTCTCTGTTCCTCTCTCTCCCACTCTACCTGAACAAAAAATGGAAAAATGTCCTCGGGTGAGGATTAAAAAAAAAAAAAAAAAAAAAAAGAGTTGGACCCTAGGCGGTCCTGAAGTTCTGTGAGTCTTCCTAAGGTAAACACCTTAGGAAGAATTAAGTCAGTATTGAGAATTACCTCAGTTTAAAATTTTCCCAGATAGATTGTTCCCAAAACTTGCACACAGCAAAGTAAATTAAACTAGTCAAGTAAACATATAACAGGAAAATGCAGAAATAGCCCAAAACCGAGGTACATGCCCTTAGCGGGAACCGAACTCAGGACTCGCCAGTCCACGGGCCGACGCTCTAACCGCTGAGCCAAACTGGCTAGGGCGGGAATCTGCATTTTTAACAGGATCCCCAGAAGATTCCCTGGATTAGTTCAAAACCTACCTACAAACTTGCTCACCTGAATTTCTAAGCCCCAACTAAGGCCAATTCAGAATTTCAGCAGGTGAGGCCGAGAGAAGAGTGGTTTTTAAAGTTCCCTGGGTGATTCTGGTGCTCGCAGAAGGCTGAGAACCACAACTGGAGCAACTGAAAATATAGGCTTTGGAGTTAGACAAAAATTAGGGACAGGCCCAAGTTTCTCCCATTTCCTTGCTGTGTGACACTGGACAGTCACTTAACCTCTCTGAGCTTCAGTTTCCCCAGCTATAAATGGGAACATCTTCCTCATAGAAAGATATGTATAATATATGGATATGATTCCTAATATGTGCAAATGTGGGCCCCAGCCATAGAAATGTGTAATAAATAATTGCTACATTTAGGTGTATTGCCTGAAAGAGACCTGATTTGACTTTGCCCTAAGACCAGCTCTTGCCTGCTGTCATGTTTGCAAGGGGGAGGCGCTTCTGGCCGCCTCCCTCCTCTTCTCCTGGTGCCTCCTCTTTCCCCTCTAAGAACTGTTTATCCTGCCTCTCAGGACTTGCTCTACTTAAGCTTAACTAATCCCTAATAAAGCAAGAAATCTCCTATCCAAGGATTTTTGACAGTGAGTAACTATTGAATAGTCAAAGAAATTAATGCACCAAGTGGAATTTCAGCTGCCTTAAGTCCCAGCAGGCCGTGCATGGGGGGCGGGCCAGGGGCCCTTCTCGGCCCACCGCAAGCATGCCCGGATGCTCTTCTGCTGGGCCCCTCTGCGGGCCGCCTCGTTCCTTCTGTGGGGGGGGGGGGGGTAGGCCAAGAAAATGGGGACTTCAGGAAGTAGGCCAGAGTAACTGTGCTGACATTCACTCCCAAATTTGTTAGAAAACAGGACAAAATGGCTTTCACTCAGGAAACACCTTTCAGGCACCTCTATACTCCTTGGTCACAGTGGTAACCAAGACAGCCGCGGGGCCGGTCACCATGGTCTGACAGAACTCCCGGGTTTCTCCTATTCAAATGTATATCTTTGTGACAATGACCACTACCCACAAAGGTCCAGCTTACCATGGACCCAAGACTATGTTAAGAACCAAGTGCGAAAAACACTCGATCACCCCACTCCTGAGTAAAATTTGGTGAGGATTGTAGCTGATCAACTCACTGCAGAGTTGGCCTTCCAATGGGGACGACCTCACTTTGGAAGAGGCCACGGGTCTTCAAATCACTACCTAATGCCTAAGTCCCTGTAAAGCCAACAAACGTGCCCATTTCACAGACAGAGACTTGCTGTATGCTCCCCTATGATGGTGTCCTCTGGGCTGCAGTACTTTTGGATTTATGAGTGCCCTGAACATTGGTGCCCCCTCACATTCACATCTGTAATCCTGTGCCACTGAACAGGTATTCGGTAACTGTTGAATGACTAAGTGAACTTAAAATCCAAATACCATATGAGAGGATGCAGGGCAAGTTGAGTTCTCCTTGAAGTGTAACAGCAGACCCTTTATTGAAAAGAAGTAGGGGAAGGCAAGAGAGGGAGCCCAGCTGAACCTGAGAGAGTCGGGTCCCCACAGAGAAAAACAGGAGGTGTCTGAAGGAGCAGCCCTGTTGTCTAGGGCTGGGTTTTTGGTGCATGAGGCATGGCAACATATAGAAGGTAGTCATTAGAAATGTAGTCCTTTCTCCTGTCCCTGTGGAAGCTTCGCCTTCACACAGAAAACCATCTCATCTTCTCAAGTCCAATTTACTGACAAGTGAAGTCTGGTGAAAATTAGTATCAGGGGTGGCCTTGAACTTCCAACTTCAGGCCCAAGGCCACAGGGATTATTGTTATAAGATGGAAGTGTGCCAGGGAAGAAGGACTATTATATCTGAGGGAAGTAGTCGAGAGGGAGGAAGAGAGGGGTACCCCGAGGGAGGCCAAGGGCATTTCATAAATCATTTTATGAAATGCATTCTCGCGTGTTTCAGCCCAGCTACCAGTGACTTCCCTCCCTCTCCACCTGCCTCTTTGGAGTCTGAGGTAATTTTCTCCAGTTTACTGCTGACTTTGACATCTGGGAAGATGCATCCTTTAACTGAAGTACCTAACTTGGTTGTTTTGCAGTCCGATATGAAATTGATAATGACCTAATGGAATTCAACATTTTAAAAAGCAGCTTTAAAGCTGACAAGGAGGCAAAGCGAAAAGAGATCAGAAGTGGGTTTCTCAAGCTGCGCAGCATTCTACAGGAGAAGGAGAAGCTGATCATGGAGCAGGTGGAGAATCTAGAAGTGTCCAGGCAGGCAGAGATCGAAAAATATGTGAAAATCACATCCATGAAAGTGAACGAAATGGATGGCCTCATCGCCTACTCCAAGGAAGCGCTCAAAGAGACGGGCCAAGTGGCATTCCTGCAGTCTGCCAAGATCCTGGTGGACCAGATCGAGGACGGCATCCAGAGCACCTACAGGCCTGACCCCCAGCTCCGGCTACACTCCTTGCACTGCATCCCCTTGGACTTCACTGAGCTCTCCAGTGCCATCCATGAGCTCTTCCCTATGGGACCCAAGAAGGTATGCTCCTCAGGGGACTCCCTGCCCTCCCCCTATCCCACACACTCAGAAATGATGATTACCAGGAAGGTCACTTTCAGCACCCACAGCTTGGGCAACCAGCAGTTATACCAGCGAAGCTCCTCCTTATTGTCCTTCAACACCACCGGAGGAGAGAGAGTCAAGATGGGTCTGGAGGCCTACGGGCGAACACAGTCCACCGCACCTGCCAAAGCCACAGACGGCCTCTACACCTACTGGAGTGCAGGGGCAGAAAACCAGTCTTTGCAGAACACCAGCAGCTTCCACAACTGGTACTCATTCAACAACAGCTCTGTGAAAACCCCAGGCCCGATTGTTATCTACCAGACTCTGGTGTATCCAAGAGCTGCCAAGGTAAGAAAAAGGCTCTGGGCCCTGAGGGGATGTTGAGAGGGTGTGGGGTATGGAATGGAGACAGGTAGTCAGGAAAGATTGCACTTACTGCTTTGACCTCTAGGGTCTGGTCACTCAAATCTGCTCCGCTGGACTCTCTGTGGTCAGCCCATTCAAAAGGGATACGTTTCTGAAATTCAAACAGCCCAAGACTGGCTTAAAGCAAACAATGTATTTAACTCGTAGTCAGAAATACATCTGAAAGCCCAACCCCACTTCAAAGGCAATTTCTCTATTGAAAGACAGCCCAATGTGAGAAGCAAAATAATTCGAACAGACTGCTTGGGAAGTGTAATATTTATTTCCCAGAGGAAGGCCTGTAATAGTAGAGAGAGCCGGAAATTGGGATTAGAAATGCAGGTTCCATCATCTATGTCGTCTATAATTCCTCTAAACTGCTACCATTCCTAAAAACAAATATCCAGAACATTTCCATGATTTGGAAAGATTGAAAAGATAACCCCAATGGCATTCCAATTCTTATTGCCTAAGACTTTGGGGGGGAATGGGGTGGGGTCTCTCACAGACCTCTGCAACTGCCATCCCCTGACTTCAGGGTCATGACCTCTACTTGACGCTCTTGGCCTAACTTAGACAAATAGCCTTTCCCTTGACATCCCTCTCCAATCCAGCCGAACCTCAAGTGAGCTGTTTGTAGAATGCTCTGTTAAAGTTCAGGGAAGAAAAATGATTGACAGGCAACTAGATATCCTATGAGAGTATATCTTCTCTAGTCTTAGGGGTCCTACAGGGACATCCCCAAGGCCAGCCCTGGCCTGCTTCTCTATGGCAGGGCCATCTTTTGCCCAGTAATCTGAGAACACTTCCAAACACTTTCAGCATCCTTGAAGTATAAACTGGGAGTGCTCAAATATGGATGTGCACTTGGGGATCTTGTTAAAATGCAGGTTCCATTTCAGTGGGTCCCAGGGGGCCTGAGATTCCTCATTTCTAACAAACTTCCAGGTGTTGCCATGGCTGCCAGTCCGCAGGCCACACTTTGTACCAAGGGTCTTAAAACAAGAAAATGAAAGCCAGACACAAGCCAAGCTTTACTTTCCCATTCTCCTGAGACATCATAATCTATGCTTTGGTGTCTATAATCGACACTAAGAATGATCTTATGTTATAACATGGAACATACCCTCCCATGAGCCATCAGACAAAGCAAAGTATCTCTGCCCTTCTCATAAGAGATGCCCACAGCTGAGCCACGGAACCCACATTTCCAAATGATGCTACATCAGCAAAGCCTGCAGTGTGTGATCTTAGCTCAGGGATGACATTAGGTCCCACCTCCATGCAACTCAGACCTGTCGGGAGGTTGGCAGGATCTTGCTCCAGAAGGTGATGTCTGCTCTCTGCTTGGGCTTGGAGAACAGTCACCCCATGCACCTGTTAGTGGTCCCTGGATGAGCTCAAAAAAGGGGCCTACACAGGAAAACTGAGTCAAGTCAGGCCGTCAAGAGAGAACACACCTAAGCTTACTTCCAGACAGTGGTATTCAATGTAAAAATAGCCTTGGTTGCTGCTTTAGGATTCTGGAATGGAGCTCACACAGAAATCACAGTGCTCGGTAATTTAGAAGATGAAATCTGTGTTGCCATCTCTCAAACGATGGTTGGCTAACAGTACCCTTTAGGCTTTTGGCATAGATAATACTCTTAAAATCGGAGTTATAACTTGTCGATAGTATCTTAAAAATCCTAAAGAGTTTTTATAAAAAGTCAATTTTATTTCTAGGAATCCCTCCCAAGGAAATGATTAAAATTTCAGATGAAGATTCTGAAAAAGTGTTCATTGCACTATTATTCATTAAAGGATAAAATTAGAAACAACCTAAATGTTCAACTATAGAAGGATTAAATCATTTGTGGGGCAGTTATTAAAATGGTACTTTACTCAATTTTTAATGATGCAGGGAAATATATAATAATAAGTGATATAAAGCAGGAATCAAAGCAACATAATCCAAATTATATGTGTTTCTGTGTTTGTATGTATTCCAAAATTAGAAAGAAATAATAATTCATTATTAACTAAATTGTGGGATTATAAGTAATATTTATTTTCTTCCCTTATACTTTTTCTGTATTTTCTAAGTATTTCACAGTGAGTATGTCTGTTTTGATAAGCAGAAAAAAAAACTTAATTTTTATTAAGTTATGTAAATTAATAAAAAGTTTTAAAAGCAAGAATAAAAAAACCAAAACCTCATAGACGCAGACAATAGTATGATGATTACCAGGGGGAAAGGGGTGTAGAAGAGGGTATAGGGGGGATAAATGGTGATAGAAAGAGACTTGACTTTGTGTGGTGAACACACAATACAATATACAGATGATGTGTTATAGAAATGTACACCTGAAAGCTATAGAATTTTATTGTGATGTCACCCCAATAAAGTCAATAAAATTTTTTAAAAGGATAAGAAAAGACTCTAGAGAACTCCCCGCCCCCCTCTGCCGTGTGAGGACGCAAGGAGAGAAAATGTGTCTTGTGAGCCTGGAAACAAGCTCTCACCAGACACCACATCTGTACGTGCCTTGAGCTTGGACTTCCGCCTCCAGAATTATGAGAAATAAATGTCTGTTCTGTATTTTTTTTTAAGAGTAGTTACAAATTAATGTGTAAAACACTATAACATTTAAATGTATTAGAATTTAAACAAAGCATGCAATATCTATTAAGAATACAATTATTGTAAAATATTTATATGCCAGGTACAATCTGCCAATTGACACTTGTCAATATATCCCTTCCGAAGTGTTAATATTTTATGTTTTGAGTTTGAACACCTAGTCTCCCTTACTTAAATAAATCGGCTTGCCTGTCTGGGACGCTCTTTTCTTGTCTATAAAATGGGGGTTGGAATACATACACTTTTCGTCTTCTAGGATTCTGTGGTTCCATTGGAGTTTGCTAAATGTGACGTTTCTGAGCCTCACCTGTACACAGTTAAGCATGTCTCCCACACAATCTGATGCATGAGAGGTGTTTAATAAGTGATAGTTACTCTGATTAGTGGTGTGAGGAGGACAGTGGTCACCTCCATGATGACTGACAGTAACAGAACTCAGAGGAGCATCTTTCTGTTCTTGGAACACATTACAAGCATCAGTCAGGCCTCATCACACAGCCTTCTAATACTGTGGCATAAGGTCTAATTCAAAGTCTTCAGCAGCTAGAGGGGGTGGGGTCAGCTTAACCTCAGCCCACAGATAGTCAATGACACAAATCTCTCTGGGAAAGAAAGCCGACAGGTGTGTACTAGGACCACCACACATGTCCATTTCTTCATAGGTTTACTGGACGTGCCCAACGGAAGATGTGGACTCTTTTGAGATGGAATTCTACGAACTCGTGTGCTCCCCTCCCAACAACGTGCGGACGGAGCTCTGCGGACAAATTCGGGACATCATGCAGCAGAGTCTGGAGCTACATAACCTGACCCCCAACACTGAGTATCTGTTTAAAGTCCGAGCCATCAATGATAACGGCCCCGGGCAATGGAGTGACGTCTGCAAGGTATGTGCACATTAACTTCAGACAGATTTTCTTTGTAAGCTCTGGAAGCAAGTCTGTTAGGACCATCATGAGACCACAGAGTCCACCATGCCTGTGACTGTCCCTCCAATCCCAGAAAACCTCTTAATTTAGGGCTGAAGAGAGGGCTGCTGGCCTCACCCGACTTTGCAAATGCGGCCTAAGAATTGTTAATTTAGTTTGATTCAAAAATCATTTCTGCCCTGGCCAGTTTGGCTCAGCAGTTAGAGCGTCGGCCTACGGACCAGAGAAACCCAGTTCAGTTCCCGCTAAGAGCACACACCTCAGTTGCAGTTTGTCCCCGGCCCTGGATGGGGTCGTGCAGGTGGCAACCAGTCGATGTTTCTCTCTCTCTTCCTCCCTCTCTCCCTCCCACTCTATCTAAAGATAAGTACAAAAACGTCCTCAGGTTAGGATAAAAAAAAACAAAATTCATTTCTGCTAGGCATTGTGTTAGGATGCAGAGAGGAAAACAAGACATAATCCTTGCCTTCAGGGAGCTCGGGGCCTAGTAAACAAATAACTGGGGTGTGAGAGGGACAATACTGAGTTACATGTTAGCCCTGGTGGTGACTCAAAGCAAGGACTGGGCTCTAGCTTTGACAGATACAAATACAGGGTGCCCAGTTATATTTGAAATTTAGGCAAACAACGTTTTTTCTGTTTTAGTATAAGTGTGTCCCATGCAATATTTTGGATATAGTTATACTGAAGAAAAGTCACTTGTTGCTTATGTAAAACTCAAGGAAGAGCCGCTGAACAGGTCAGGATGGATCCAAAAAAGAAGACACAAGATTATTCCTGTGGTTTTTTGTGATGCAAGGCTGGTTCTTCTGTACATCCCCAGGGGACATCCATTCATGAGTATAATATTATTGATATTCAGAGGAGAAAGGGAAGAAAAATCCCAAGACTGTGCAGAGCTATCCTGCTGTACAACAACGATGGTATTCTTTGGAGTCAGAGTAGATCACGTGTTAATCAGGAATTCTTTAGGAAAAAAGAGAATAAATCCATCCATTTCAGCTTCTGAAAAGGGAAATTTACGTAGATACAGAACAAACTGATGTTCACCAGAGGGAATGGGGTTTGCAGACTGGGTGAAAAGGGGAAGGAATTGAGGAGGACAGATTCGCAGTTACAGAATAGCCGTGGGATGTGAAGTACAGCATAGGGAATGCACTCAGCAATACTGTAATAACTATGTATGGTGCCACTTGGGTGCTTGAATTATCGGGGATCACTTTGTAAATTATATAATTGTCTAACCACTATACTGTACACATGGAACTAATATAATATTGAATGTCAACTGTAATTGAAAAATTTTTTAAAGGGGAAATGTATAGTAAAAGGGGAGTCTCATGAGACCACTTCCAGCTAGGACATGCATCTGATACCCAAGGGAACTGGAAGGTCATCCTCTCCCTCTATTCCCTGCCCCTCTTTCTGACTAGCGACACAGCCTTTGGCTCTGGTCACATGCTTGCAGAAGAGAATCTGATTGGTTGCTACCCCTAGAGATGCAGGAGGTAGAGTGGGGACAGCATTTTGCTGTTGCTCAGCCTACCAGTGGCAGCCTCCTGGGCGTGAGGCTCTCTACTCCCTCCTGCTTGCCAGCTCCTGGGTCATGCTCTGTTTCTGGAGCCCAGGACCCACATGCACTCCCTCCTTCTCCCCCGAGGTCAGACACTCACGTGGGAGGAAGTGCGATGAGGTCAGCCCGGCTGCTCCTCGGGGTGCCCCAGCCCATCACCGACTTGCCCCAAAGCCCCTCTGTGGCTCCTCTCCTCTCCAGAGCTGCGACCACGTTTGGCAGCAGGCCCTTCTGACCGAGGATTTTTCCTTCAATCGAATGTCATCTGCCTTCTCGTTTTTAAAAAAAATTTCTCAAAAATGTCTTGCCCACAAAGAGCACTCAATGCTGTTACTAATTGTTTTTCAACGTTATATTCTGTCGTTTTCAGATGCTAGGGACAGGGATGGGGCTGGAAGACTGAAGTGTGTCGGTTTTAAGTAGATGTTTTGTTATCCCTCTTAAACTCTTAACTCCTTGAGAGCAAAATCCATGTCTAATTCATCTTTCTTCTCCCACAGTGCTTACCACAGCACAGCACAGAGCAGGTTCTTAATGGTTATTGAGTGGATACATGAGTGAAATATGAGCAAACAAATGAATATATGAATGAATGTCTAAATTAAAGAGTGAAGAGATAAACTGATAGACAAAATTAATAATTACGAAGTAGCAAACGCCGCATGAAAGCTCCTAAGTGTCTTATACAATCAGTCAAGAGTAACATTCCCCCTGCAACGGTGTTTATGCGATTAGTCTGCACTCCATGTCTGGGAACGGAACTCGCTGCAGTCCCTTTGCTTTTTAACACAATTGCTAAATGAGCAGAGCACTAATTAATGAGGTTTTCTGGAAGCTTCATTTTTATCAGAGTCACAGAGCTGCAATATAGATTTTTCCTTCAGAAGTAATTCTTCCTCCCTCTCTGTGATTATATTAGCATTCCGGGGGAAATGCTGCTTCCCTTAACATTTGTCATGATTTGCATAAGTAAAGGCTTCAATGGCAAATGAAAATAAGATGGCGTGTTTGAATGACATTTATAAAGCTTCATAAAAGTAATGACTGCAGTTCTTGCCTATAAAATCGAAATATTTTTCCTTTGGCGTCAGCTCTGTGCTGGTATTCCTGAAAGGTTTCATTTAAAATGATGTAATGAGGCAGCAGAATCATTTCTTCTCCAAAACGCAATATTTCTATCATAGGTACTTTTGTAAAGGAGGCACAATAGCACCTTTTGTATTTGATTTTCGTAGTCAGGGGCTCGTTGGTTTTTTACGGGATTTTGTTTGAAGTACAGTACATGAAGCATGAAATTTAACTTGAACACTTTTTAAAGGTGCCGTTTATTGAAGGCCAGCTCCATGTCAGACACTGAACATTCATTATCACTGATCATCTCAACTACTTGGCAGGTGGGGAGTTACAGCCTCCATTTGACAGATGAAGAAACTGAGGCTCATAGAGACAGAGTGTCTGGCCTCGTGTAACTCAGAGGAGTTGAGTGGAAACCTAGGTGTCTCTCATCGAAGGCGGGAGCTCTTTGTCCGCCTGCACCATAACCAGATGCAGGCCAGGCTCAGCCCTGGGGACCTGGCACCTCACTCTGGGGGAATGTTTCAAAGCCAATAGCAGTGAGAGCCATTTCTTTGCAAGGGTGAGATCGTACATTGGAGAGAACATAGTACCTGGGCTGGTGTACCTGAGCCCAAGCCCCAAAGACACCAGGCTACAAGTTCCGTGAGGTCAGACACTGTTGGCCTTACTCACCCCCCTGGGCCCACAGTCCCAGCTGAGAGCCTCTAACATCCAACACACTAACTGATATTTTTGAAGGAATAGAGAAATTTGTTTGTAGGCGAGTCCCATACCCTTTGGCCTCAGTTTCTCTTCCTGCTCTTCCTCTCATCCTCACTGTACCTGCTGACCACCATCCCCGTTTTTGAAAACAGTCTCCTTACTTTGTCTCCCTCTGCCTCCACATCTCAGCGAACTCCCAAGAAGTCCTCCCATGACGAAGATGACGTTTCATCTCTGCACTGGTTCCCTTTGGTTGCTGCTGTAACAAATTAGTGGCTTAAACAACGCGAGTGCACGTATTATCTGACAATTCTGGAGATCAGAAATCAAAAATGGGTCTTATTGGGGACAACCAAGGTGTCAGCAGGGCCGTGTTCCCTCTGCCGCTCTAAGAGAAAATTCATTTCTTTGCCTTTTTCAGTGCCAAGCAGCCACATTCCTTGATTCCCGGCCCCTCCCTCCACATTCAGAGCCAGCACGTTAGGCTGAGTCCTCTGCACGTGCCCCCACCTGGGTCTCCTCTGCCTCCCTCTTCCACTTTGAAAGACTCATGATTACCTTGGACCCACCCAGTGATTCAGCATAATCTCCCTGACTAACAACCGGATTTCCCTTTGCCATGTGACATAACCTCTTCACATGCTCCTGGGACTGGAACACGGACATGTTTAGGGGACATATTCTGCTTACCACAGTCTATAAAGCGGATGATCCCGGTTACATCAGATTCGGAGGTAAAAATCCAGATCCGGCAATAGTCACAAACTGGTACTGTTCCGGGTCTTTCCCTGTAGCTCTTCAGGAAGTGCATCATCCCTGCCCCCACCCTACTTCTCAAATTCCTTCTGTCGGCACTGGAGTCCCCACACCCACACCCCATGTTTGACATGTGCTCAGGCAGTAGTCTTGCTGGTAACTTCGTGTCTCTGCAGGGCAGCTGGCTTCTTGCTCACAGTGTGGTCAGGATGGAACCCAGCCATATTTCGGGGTTGCCTGGCCTTCCTGGGCATCTTACCTTGGTTTCATAAAATCCCTGTTCTGGCTTATTATCTGTCCCTACTGCACACCCTCTGCCTAGGTTGAGACACACATCTTAGGACTGGAGTTGGAGGACACTCAGAATAGCTGCCCCAAGCGTACTCCACACCAGAGTCCTTGATCCTAAAACCCTACTGGGATTGCCCCACAGATGGGCTTAAACCCTGCAGTGGGCAGAATTTAAGCTAAAGCTAGACCTATTGTTTTTAACCTAATATACAGAAGATGGAATTAATCATCTACCTCGGTTCATGGTCCATTAACAACAATGGCACCTGCAAGGCCTTTTATTGTTTATGTATTTCATCCCTTTTATGACCATTCCTCCCCGAACATCCTTTCTAATATGTTTGACGTGTATCTTGTTGCTTTGATGTGTTCTTGGGTGAGGTGTATTGTTTTAGGTGTGTTATTAACTTCTACAAATAGCGTTGTGTTATATATCCTACTTTGTTGCCCTCCTTTCCCCAAACCCTGTGTTTCCGAGACCCATTCGTGTGGTTACACACGTAGCCCCTCCCCCCAGCCATTTCCATGCGGTGTGCTGCCAGATGAGTCGGGGCCCTGACCTCTCTCCCTTAGGTTGTCAAATAACAAAATGACCACAGCCAACACAACAATAGCCATCCAGTGTGAATGAATCAAAATTATACCCATTTTTTTGTCAGATTGGCTAAAAAATATATATTTTGTGGCGCGCCACAGAATTTTAGTAATTAATTTCTGTGAGCCATGAGATGAGAAGGTGGAAAGTCACGGCCTCACTCCGATGCCGCCTCCTCCTCCATGTGCCTTCGTTCACCGCACTGTGCTCGGCCAGGATGGACCCCAGGTGACTTCCAGTAATGCCGTACTGAGCCGCCTCTTTCAGGACACCTTGTGGGTTTGTAGAGGGGGTGTGAGTTTGCCAGGGCTGCCGTATCAAAATGCTACAGACTGGGTGGCTTCAACAACTGAAGTTTATGTTCTCATAGTTCTGGAAGCTAGAAGGCCAAGATCAAGGTATCGGCAGGTGTGGTTTCTTCGGAGACCTCTCTCCTTGGCTTGCAGACATCCGCCTTCTCCCTGCGTCTTCACAGGGCCTTTTCTCTATGTACCTGCCCCTCCGATGTGTCTCTATCCAAATGTTCTCTTCTTATTAAGAGACCAGTCAGCGTGGATTAGGGCCCCCCATAATAAGCTAATTTTAAATTAATCGCCTCTTTAAAGGCCCTAATTCCAAATACAGTCACATTCTGGGGTCCTGGGGGTAGGACTTCAACATGTAAATTTGGGGACGACACACTCAAGCCTTTACCAGATGTATACCATGAGTGAAACTGCTAGGTCTCGGAGTATGTGCCTACTTGATTTGACCACACGTATGCACACGTCCATGAGGAATGAGAGAGAACCCCTGTATTCTAAGCCCCACCTACATTTGGCATGACCCAGCTTTCTACTCTTTTGCTAGCCCAGTAAGTGTAAAGCTCTCTCTCCTCAGTGGTTTAAATTTTATTTTATGTGCTTGCTAGTTTTCAGGATTTCCACCTCTGTAATTAGACTGCTAATATCCTTTGCCCATTTTTCAATTGCATTTTTCTTTTTCTAGGTGATTTGCAGGCTGCCCTTATGCAGTCTAGATCATGGTTTTAGACATTGCTAATATCTTCTCCATTCTGACATTTGTTAACTTCGCTCATTGTGTACTTCATGAAACAGCAAAACTCTTCCATTTTAATGTGATTAAAGCCATCAATTATTTTTTTCTTATGGTTCATCCTCTTCAAGTACTGTTTGAAAAGTCCTTCCATAGTCTTAGATCACAAAGATAATCTTCCACATATTCTCTTATTAACTTTATAGTTTCACCTTTCAAATTTAGAACTTTAATCCATCCGTAGTCTACCCTTGTAAGTACTTCTAGATAGGGGTACAATCTTTGGGCCATCTAGTAAGCCAGTTTTCCCAATATCATCTACCAAGCAATGTCTTCTCCATTAGTATGTGATAAAGGTGCCACTTTGATCTTATAGTAAATAGTCACATATTTGGGGGTCTCTCTGAGTTTTCTATTGTATCCCGTTGATGATCTGTTTGTCTGTTCTTATGTGAATATCACACTAGTTTTATTGTTCTTTAATCTCAGTCTTGTGCTATATCTTGATGATCTGCTAAAAAGTCTATCCATTATTGTTTTTTCTTTTTGTGATGTGCATTTAGCTAATCATAAAACCGTATTCCTTCATATAACTTTTGAAGTAAGTAAATTGAATTGCGTAAGAAAAAAATCCAGATAGAATTTGATAGGAAGGCACTGAGTCTCTCAATTAATCTGAAGACAATTGATATTTCTGAAATAAGCCTGAGCATTTATTAAATAATCTTCTATGTGTGTGATATATTGTTTTTTTAATATACTTGGCTTTAGATAGTTTATTTTGTCTTATTGCATCTGTGATCTTAAGTGAACTGGACCTATAATGTTTTGCTTATATTGTTTTTATCTGGTTCTGGAATCAATATTTTACTAGCTGGATAAAATGAGCTTTTGCTCTTCTTGTATTTTCTAGAACAAATGTCTCCTCAAAGTTTGGTAAAGCTTCTGAGCATTTTGGGCGGGGAAGGAGATGTCCGTTCTCATTTCAACTCCTTTAGTATCTCAAGTTCTGTTCTCTGTTTCATCCGATCCCCTTGTTCGTAGACACACCTCCGTCCCACTGCCCCGTTCACAGGTGGCGCACAGTCATTATCTCTGGAGACCCTGGCTCACTTTAAGGCAGAACTCAAACCACTTCTTTTTTATGAGCCAATTCCCAACCCCTCACAGCACTGTTCTTCCTTCGTCATCACCCTCAGTAGCATCTCACATTATTTATATCACCTTTCTCAGGGTTATCTCTGCACATTAGCTCCATTTTTATCTGGCAAGGGGCAATCCAATGCCATGTATATGATATTACCTTGCCTGAAGCCCTGTTTTCTTTAAAACTGAAAATAAATCATGTAAAACTAGAGAACATAATGGTAATAAGTGTCTTTTTTTTTTTTTTTTTTTTTTTTTGCCCTTTCCCTTTGAATACAAACATAAAAACCTAGGTGCTTTGTATGTAGATGCTTTGTACAAACATTGCTCTTCGCCATCCAAACCACACATCTGTCCCCTGAGTCCTGACGCATCTAGGCAGATCCCATTGATCCTGTGGGCTTTCATCCTGGGCGCTCAACCTCACTCCCTAGATGTCTCTTCCCTAAGTGTGTGTTGGGAAGGAAAGGTAATGCTGCCAGACCAGCGATATGAAGAAACCCGCCACCTTCGAGGTAAGGCTTGGAGATGGACATGGCAGCTGGGTGGCTGAGACTTCCAGGAGGGTCCTGGCGCCCAGTGCGATTGGCCTCTTTTAGGTAGCACTGTCCATTCACTCTGATCAAAGATAATATGAAGCATCAAAGAGACGCAGTTGGCGGGTTTACAAATGATGGTTCTATTCACCTTTCATCTACTTTTCTAAGAAGCTTGTCTTTGCCATAACCAATGTTGGAATTACAGAGAGGAGGGCTGTCAGTTCCCCACATGCCATCAAGATGCTCGCAGTCTGGTGAGAGAGTCAAACACATTTCCTGACGTTTACAAATGACAACAGCTGTGACAGAAGTGATTCAAGGGGCCTGGGCGGCCCCAGAGGTCTGCTCGATGGTGAAGCCCACTTGGGCTCACAGCCCCAACATCGTCATCCGCTCTCATTCACACAAGGTGCCTGAAAGTGTAACCTGGTCTGTGAGGTCCTGATCCCACCAGGGATTAGCGGTGGGACTTAGACGAGCAACCCAATCCTTCTGAGCCTCAGTCTCATCATCTATAAAACAGGCTGGGCGGCACCTGCGGTTGTCCGGGGCTGTTAATGAGATGGTGTGGACAGTGTCTGGCACACAGCAGGGGCCTGGCTCGGGGAGCTGCTGTTTCCCTGGTGGCTGGTGCCATGGCCGTCTGCTTCTGCTTGCAGGTGTTAACGCCAGATGGGCACGGGAAGAACCGAGCTAAGTGGGGCCTGCTGAAGAACATCCAGACCGCCCTCCAGACGCGTTTCTGAGCCCCCAGCAGAGCAGGCAGCAGCCTCAAAGACACACCACAAAATAGACATATATACACACACATGCACACTTACTTTCTCACCGCGTTCTTCAATGAGGTTGCCGACGATGTTCCTAGGACCGCCGAGTGTTTCAGCAGGAGTCTTCTAAGAGCTAATAAAAGGAAACGCCTTATGTCATGGCTGGCTGTTTGCTCATTATTATGAAACTAATACAAAATAGTCAGCAAGGCTCTATGTCTCCATTAGCTCAGGGCTGGCCACAGGCTCGGAATTCTGTGGCGATCAGCACACGGCACCGCCAGGCTGCTGTGGGTCAGGCCCCTGGGTGCGCAGTCGAACCCTAATCTAACCAGCTTTCGGTGTTTAGACAAGACACGGATTGACAGGGAGCTCATTACCTCATCATGCAGTCTATTTCAATATTACGCAGTTTGCATTGTTAGAACGTTTTTCCAAATTATTGGGCCTGACCTTGCCTTCCCATAACTTTAACCCCATGGTCTGAGGTCTGCCTCTGAGCCATAAAGACTGAGAGCACCCCCTCTTCTCCCACCCTACTCCTTCTGGTCCCCAGAGCAAAGGAGGAGCAGGAGAATGCTATGTCTGAGCTCCCCTGTGGTTTGGGGGCAAGGCACTGAAAGCGAGGCAGAGGCATGCGTCAGCCAGTGTCGCTGAGCTTGTCCTGGCCCGTCAGACAATATGAAGCCCCAGCACTTCTTGCCTGACAAGACCCTCTCCTAAACCCCACCCATTTCTCACCCAGCTTTACCACTTCTTCTAGGAAACCTTGGCTGGTTCGCCGGGTGGGTGTGACGCATCCCTCCTCATCCCTCCTCATCCCTCCTCATCCCTCCTCATCCCTCCTCATCCCTCCTCCCAGGTTCTCACCAAACACAGGCCCCTCCTTCCCACCCTCCCCACAGAGACATCTGTTCCATCCCCTGAAACTCAGGAGCTCCCTTCGTCCCCAGTCTCTAGGGTAGAGACGGTGTCTCATTTATTCTGTCCCAGTGCCAGGCTCAGCGAGGCTCACGGCACGTTAGTACCGGGAGGAGGGCGCTGGGCTGGAAGACCGGCACACGCAGTGACCCGCCTCTGAACGCCGCTCCCGCCTTGTGTCCGTGTCCACGGGCGTGGGAGTGAACGTGGACAGGCAGAGCAGTGCCCGGTCTCCACCTCCTCCGATCCCACCCTGTTCATGAGCTGTTCCCCTGGCAGGTGTGGCCAGCCCATCTACCCTCACCTACAGGACTGCTGCTTTGCAATCCTTTATTTTGCCCAGAGGCGCGGTGTCAGAGTCAGAAAACGCCTCTTCCTTGAGGGAGGTCCCTAGCGAGGACCTCTGATCCCATGGGATGAAGCCAAGCAGATTCCTGCTCTGTCCCCCACCGTATTACAAGAAGGACTACCCCGGGAGCTTCGTTATGATACTATTACTGTAAATGATGGCTCGAACCCACCATCAGCTTTGGTATTACCATATAATCATTCCTGTAAAAAGCTTCAGAATTATCATTAGCACCGGAGCAAATTAAATGACATGCCAGCAGGGATTTTACTACTGATAAACCAAAATGAAATTAAACTAAAAAAATAGAATGGGATGAATATTGCATTAACATGATCCCACCTACTCAGCCAACCAGGAGGGCGAGACTCAGACAAGCCACCGTGCCCGATCCTACTCTCTAGAGAACATGCACCTTCATTCCGTGACCACGGCAGTGAGTAGCTGAGCCCTTCTACCAAATGCAACATGGAACTTTTTTTAAATTGAAATTAAACATTGTATTCGTTTTACATGTGCAACACAATGATTTGACATATGCATATATGGTGAAAGGATCACCACGGTCAGTTCACTGGACATCTGTCATCATACATAGTTACAATTGTTTCTTGTCGTGAGGACTTTTCGGATCTCCTCTCTTAGCAACTTTCAAATACTCAACACAGTATTATTAACTGTAGTCTCCACGCTGTCCATCATTCCCTGGGACTTATTCATCTTATAACAAAATCGTACCTGTACCTTTTGACCCTCTTCCCCCACTTGCCCTCCCTCCCCACCCAAGATTGGATTTCTTAAAGACACAGAAATCCCTGCACATTATTTGTCTCTGAGGTTATGAATCACGTAGCGTCCCCCTCCCAGGACACTTCCTGAGGTATAAAAAGGAGCTAAGGACATCTGGTTTTTAACACCAACTCTTCACTTGACACAAACTTACTGGGTGACCTTGAGCAAGTCCCTCTCTCATCTGGGTGTCGGCATCTTCTCTACACAATGATGTGGTTTGATTAGCTATTATACAGATGATCTTTAAGAAGATGAGAATGGTGCTCCTAGCCCTGCCTCTCCGTCATTGTCAGATTCAAATGAGTCATCTAAGTAAAAGCATGTTACAAAGTAGAAAATACCATTTAAAAATATGAAGATGCTTGAGAGACAAGTGAGTGGAATCAATGGAGGCAGCTGGGTGATGCATCAGTCTGATTCGGTCCAGAAAGCAGAAACCACACCAGTCCTTTAACAGAGAGAATTGAAGGCGGGGATTGGTTAAACGGATATGGCAGAGCTGGTGACAGAAAGGGACACTGGGACAACACGAGGTGGCAACTTCAGGGAGCTGCTGTGACCCCCAGGATGGGGGGAATGAAGGGGAGGGGGAGGGGCTAGCCCAACCAGAGGCTCAGAGAGGAGCCCTGCTGAGCTGGGACCCAGATCTCTGAGGTCGCTGCCAGGGAGGCACTGGTGGACCTGGGGGAGTCCCGGGAGGCCAGTTGCAGGAGTGTGGGGAAAGCTCGAAACTGACAGCAACAGCTAAACCCAGTAACTGCTGCAGTGACGCAGCACAAAGAGTGACCAAGACAGAAAGCAGCACTTTCCTTCTGCCCCTCCAGGCTTCCTCTGGCGTCCCTCGGGGAACCAGCTGGCAAGGAGAAGTGCCATCCAGAGAGGCACAGCCCGAGTCCAGAAAGGCTGGTTTAGGGCTGAGACAACAGCTTACTAATCAGCACAGTTATGTAGGACTAGAACTCAAAGGATAGGCCCGGGCGGGGGACACCGACCCAGGAGCTCAGCAGGCGTGACTCAGCGAACTTCTGCAGCACTAGGGACCTCGAGTGCCCGACTCAGCTAGGCCCTGCCGGACACACTAGAGAGGCACGAAGCTAGTTGTCTTCAGGTGCTTTCTGAATAATCACAAGCCAACTGCAAAGCAATTAGGTATTTGAATACGTCACTTTGCCTCTGGAGCTACAGGTCCCAACCCCAGGTGAGCATTGGAATCACTTCTGCGGAGCTTTTGAAAATCCACATGCCCCTCTCCCACCCCAGAGCCACTGATCGGAGTTTGCAGTGCAGGGGCCAAGCAAGACATCTGTATAGCAGCTTTCCCAGGCTAACCAGCATTTGGGCCCCACGGGATGGTGGCCAGAATTGTTGGAAGATCGTTCCTGGCTAAAGGAAGACCGGGGGTAGCTTTCGAAGAGTGGCCAGCAACTGGACAAGGGGCGGGCCAGGACCACGCTCTTGTGAGGACAGCTTGCAACAGAGCAGGGAGGCAGGAATGAATGGAGAACTGGGTACAATAGGCATCGAAATAGGTGCTCACTGATTTGAGTTGGGACCCATAGCTCTCAAAACACAGAGGGAGACATGGTGAGTGAGAAACAGACTATGCAGGGACATGTTGATATTTAAACTGTTATCGTCTCAACAGTTGCCCCTCTCCCAAGCAAATGAGGGGTATACACAGGGATCAGAGATAATGAACCCCGAGGTGGTAATGATACTCCACACACAAGCATCCCTATTTCTGCCCACGCCAGGCCTTCCTGGGTAAAGCCATCACCAGCACCCGGCCCCTACGCCACATACAACACTCAGTCACACAGCTGTCAACGTACATGGACACACACTTGTATACACACAAGCACACACATACACATACACTCATATACACACGTGCACGTGTACACATGCCACATTCACTGCCTCTGAATTCACGTCATCCATTCCCAGGTCAGCAAAATTTTCTGAACCAATAGGGACCCGTCTTGAGGCTGGAAGGACGTGCAGTCAAAGAGCTGTGGTTCTGAGAGAACACTCGGGCTGGACCTGACGGGAGGGGACAGGAGGCATTTCCCTGTCACCCTGTTTCCAAGTGGTCTGTGAGGACATTTTGGTTTGAAATCAAAGGGTTTCTTTGCCAGCAAATGACCAGAAGAATCAGGTGGGATAGGAGTTCTCAGAAAAGCGGATACATTCCAAGGCAAATAACTGACTGAGTCTAAGAAAAAGTGCAGTTTGGGGAGAAGCCCAAGGGACACATGTTACTGCAAAGCTGAACTGGGCCCAGAAGCGTGAATTTTTTACGGCAAGTTGTAGAAGTTAGAAAAATAAGGGTCCAAAACAGTCCTTCCGATGCTGTGAATCTATGCATGACTTCATTTCCATCCCTCTAATTCCACTAGGAGCTACGATTTCTATATTTTCCTTCAGGAAAAAAAAAAATCATTTAGCGCAGAAATAGTGCTTTCTATATAAAACTGGGGCTGTTGCAGGGTTTATTTCTTTGATTTTTTTTTTCCTTTCAAGAAAATCAAAATAAAAGGAATCTTTCCTTTAACAAAGCCAGACATGGGACGTTTCTCTCCGAGCACCAAAGCAGACAATGGATTCGCTCAGTGAAAACTGACCGGTGCTGCACCAGCCTGGTCCTGGGCACCTGGAGCAAACAGCGCAGGCTCTGCCCGCAGGGTTTCCACACGTGAAACGAGAGAAAATCAAGTTCAACCTCCATGGAGCTCTGGTGTCCAGGCCAGGGCTCATGGCAGGCGTGGAACACCCTTGGGTCATGGAAATGGAAGAGGATTAAAGGGGCAGAGAAGCAAGCAGGCATGCTAGGTGGGGAACAGCACAGATAAGGGTGTGGGGGCTGGGCTAGTATGTCAGATGCATGAGTGCGAAATATATATGTATGTCTGTCTCTGCCCCTGGGTCCTGGCAAGAATTCCTAAAACTCCTGTAAATTCCTAAGTGATAAGAGCACTTGAAGCACCTTTTGTTCTGACAAGGCAACTCTGGGGGGCTCCTGGACAGGGGCTGGTCCCCAGAAAGACTGAAGGGTGGTTAGAAGCTTGGGATTTTCAGCCCTACCTCCCG